TGTTGTTTGTTTATTTGTTTTATTATATATATATATATATATATATATATATATATATATATATATGTCTCTTGTCTGGTGAAAAAAATTTCCCTGGAACCTAAACCCCACCCCCCATTTACATTAATTCTTATGGGGAAATTGGATTCGCTTAACATCATTTCACTTAGTCACATTTTCAGGAACATAACTACAATGTTAAGCAAAGAGTTACTGTACTGTACATGGGTGTTTGATACTGGGAATACTGCTCGGCAGCAAGCACATCTTTTAAACCCCAGCTTCCTTTACTTTTTCGGTTCCACCATACCCCGGAACCAGAGAGACACCCTCACTACTCACTATGAGGGAACACTGATTTTTTGGGAGGAAACAAGACTCCAGCTCTGAGACGACCAGAGTTCACGTCTGTCCAGGCACGCAAGTGGAAGGAACTGAGGTGGGGAGGGCATTCCACCTCCTTCAGTACCTCGGGGAGACTGAGAGGCAGTGGTGTTAGTAAAGGCACACAAGGTGGCATAGTACCCGTAAGTGGGAATATGCAGTGTCACTTGTAGAACTAAATGTTCTGTAAGGGCACAGTGCACCGCTGGGCAACCGTAAATCTTCATTAACATAGTTAAAATGCTTTGACAGTATGAGTATTTTCAACAATGTAACAAGGGTACGGTGTGTGCTTACTAAACAATTCCAGTGTCTGGCTGGCATTTAAACTAGGGTGGCCAAAAGTGTCAGTCTTGGTTGATTAAAGTTAGGCACCTAAATCCATATTCCTGCATCTAATAAAGTGAACTGGTTTTCCAAATGCCAAAGGAAGCAGCAGCATTGCACCACCAGGCTGCTCATCTAGGTGCCTAACTTTAGTTACCAAGTTACAAAAATTTGTTTTGGTTTAAATGCCAAGCTCCTAGTAATGGATGTAGGAAACATTGTGCCTGATACCCTAGAACAATCAAGCATCCTGTAACTATAAATAAAACACAGCAACATACACCACTCTGAGTGTGCCCAGCTGGCCTGTGGAAATTGTGGAGGCAGTAGCACTATCTTAATTTCTAACTCTTTGATTACAGCTCCAGGCACAGCATTCCCTCTGCCTGAAAAGGACTAACTCAAGGCTGTTACTGCAGCAGAACTAGCCTGCAGATTCAGCATCTTTCCAGAAGAGAAACTTGTGGCATTTCAAAGAAGAGCAAATGCAGGAGGCAATGAAAATTCTCTTATAGGTTAGTGTTTGAATGTGGTGTTTGCTTTTGCTGTGCCCTGGCTATGAAGGACAAATGGTGCATTTTGATGCTTTTCAGAGCTCTCTGAAGTTCTGTCTGCCGGAACTTGATGCCACCATGGGCACAACCACAAATAAAGGACTAAGCCTAATAATTTACACAGCTGTCTTGACCGGACTTTGGTCATGAGGAAACAGACAGTGAAGCAGTCCACACCACAGAGAGGCGGTATTGATCTTGAGCTACTGCTAGCTTAAAAAATGAATATGGTGAAAGCGTAGAGCATTGCCTCTAAGAAGCCATAAATAGTGGCATGAGGCCTTGAGCCCAGAAGATAGGAAGCAGACCAACAGCAGCTAGAGAGCACGCATGCAGTCAGAGGACTGGCCTGTATGAAAAACCAAGGCATTTGTTGCGTTTGTGCTTGCTCCCTTAGTGAGATAGGCAGGATGTGATGGTCTCGAAACAAGGAACTGGCATCTATAAAACAAGATGAGGCAGCAGCTCCATGTTGCAGAATGGCAGCCTATGTGTGTTTTAAATAAATTTAATAAAGATGGTGTGATGGGTTTGAAGGAGGAGTAAAAGGTGTATAGGATCAGGACCTATACTGGTCAATATTCATCCTGTTCCTACAGCAACTGAATCACTACCCCATCAACTATGAGAATTTAAACATTTTGGAAGAATTCTCTGTGAAGGTTCCCACCCAGCTGTGCCACCTTACTAGAAAACCTCTGAAGTCCAGGATATCTATGGTAGCATTCTCTGAAGTGCTTCTAATTCCACACGCAGGGGCTCAATGTGCAGATGAGACCATAGTGTAGGGAGGAGGGTTTTAGATTTATTAGGAACTGGGGAATCTTTTGGGAAAGGAGGAGCCTATACAAGAAGGATGGGCTCCAATGAAACCACAATGGAACCAGACTGCTGGTATGTAAAATTAAAAAGGTTGTAGAGGAGTTGTTAAACTAAGGGCTGGGGGGATAGCCAACAGGTTCAGAGAGAGACATCCCTTAGGGGAGGAAGAGGGATGCTCTATAGCAGTGGCCCCCAAACTTATCAGGATCATACCCCCTCTTACCTCTGTTTCCCCTGAGCTGGGGGGGTAGAGCCCTGGGCACAGGGCCGGCAGCTGGATGCCACTCCCCATAGGGGTTGGCCTGAACCCCAGCTGTCATCCCCCCTCCCCCCCAAACAGTCATTCAAGCCCCACAGTTTGAGGACCTTTGCTCCATAGCCTAGTAAAGAGGAGAGGACAGACGTTCATAAGATACAGATAGGAACTAGAGAGAAACAAAAAGAAGAACAGGAGTACTTGTGGCACCTTAGAGACTAACAAATTTATTGGAGCATAAGCTTTCGTGGACTACAGCCCACTTCTTCGGATGCATATG